CAGGATGCAAAAGAGATAAAGCTGGCATCTGTCCTGGTACTCCCAGTTTCCCCCACCATAGCTACCTTCTTGTGTTCCCCAGCCTCTGGGTGCCTGGCTTGGGTCACGTGCGTTCTCCCTACCGTCTTGGGGTGACTACTTGGAGGGTTGGGGAGGAGTGGGCAGGAGAGACAGGAGCAGGTGGGAACAGGGAGTGTGGGAGAGCGAGAGATGGCGAGTGGGAGGTGATGCCATCTGAGAGGAAGAGAGAGGATGCGGAGGTGGGAAAAGATGCAGAGCCTCATGGAGATGAGGCAGGAGAGCTGTCTGTGACAGAGAGATGGATGGCGGCTGGGGTGGGAGGCGGGGAGAGAGGGAGAGACTGAGCCAGAGAGAGAGAGAGAGAGAAACACCCAGAGGGAAGGAAAGCAGAGCAGAGAGGGAGAGGAGCTCCAGGGTCCTGGGAGATTCTTGAAGGACCCTTCCCTTTAAAGAAGGGGATACCAAGGCCCAGTGAGAGAGGAGCCTGCATCCCAGGCCACACAGGTGACCTAGCAGGCAGGGTGGGTGACCCACTGTGAATGGCCAGCCCCAATGACATAGCTTGAGTCTTGGGAGGTACTTGACTGTTACGTTTGATGTTATTTTCTTCCAGGCCACTGTGAGGGACATCATGGGGCGTCTCCAGAGAGGGAGGGTTGGAGTCTAGGTGCTGGGCAGGGGCTAGCAATAAGGAGGGGTTGTGGAAGTGAGAGAAGACATAGAGACTCAAGGTGATGACACAGGAGAGGTGCTTGTGACAGACCTGCTCCTCCAGGAGAGAGAAGGCCAAGGTCGCTGATTTCGTATATGCTTAGACGTTAAGAAGGAGCTAGAAGTTACTTAGTCAGGACCCTCTCCTGTCCCCAGACTAGTTCAGAAGTGCTGATCCAGCCCCAGCCCTGGCTCCAGAGGAGCCCTGACTCAAAATACGGTTCTGTTTCTTGTTTCTTGGTACCTGGGGCAAAGACCAGTGTGGAGGGTGTGGTGCTGTCTGTGGTGCTGACTGGCCCTGTCTCTACCTGCACAGCTCACACGTAGGGGATGGGGAGAACAAGAAGTTCCTTCCTTCCATCCATCCATCCTTCCATCCATACATCCATCCATCCATCCATCCTCTTCGAATTAAATCAGAACACCATAGAACCATATGCTGCAGAGCTGGAAGGACCCATTTTTGCTAATGAGGAAACCAAGGCTCAGAGGAGGAAAGGGGCCTGCTTAAGGCCACACAGAGTGTCTGTAGACAATCTGGGACTGGAAATTGCTGCTTTTTTCTACACACCACAAATTCTTCCCTGGGGTCTGGGCCATTGCCTGGTTGTTATGCTGATATTTATACCGATGTTGGTAAAAAAAAAAAAAAACTGCGAGGGTGGGAAATGTGATCTCCTTCTACCCGATGCCTGGGCTATGTGTGTTTACATATGTAAGTATGTACTTGTGTGGGCATTGTCTACATGGTTGCATTTCTTTCCGTGTGTATGCATGTTTGTGTGAGGTGTGTGCGTTACGTATATGTATGGGCAGAGGTGTGCACATGGCAGTATATGTGTGACATTTATAGATGTGCATGTGAGCGGATGTGGCTATGTTTGCATTTTTCCTTTTCTCCTCTTTTTAAGATTCTTGGCGCTTTAGCCCTTGAGTTGAGCCTCACTCCCCACTTGATCCTTAGATTCAGGAATTTCCCCACTCCCCATCCTCAGCTGCTGCCCCACTGGTTCTCTCCTCCCTTCACAGAGGCAGCCCCTTCACTCTCTGAGCCCCCATCTCATGGACTTTGTTTTGGAATTTGAGCTATTCCTGCCCTTAGTTGATGCAGCTGAGGTGGATCTGGGGAGTGTTCAGAGAGGAGGTGGCATTTGAGCAAGCCTTGAAGGCCTCTTTGAGGGTGATGTATGAAGTGGCCCTTCCCAGCTACAGTTTTTGCAACCAGCACCCTCCCCCCTATTCCTAGGGTATGGTGGGCAGAGTCAGGAGGTGGATGGACAGAAGGATGTCAGATGAAGAGCCCTGGGCTTCATCAGCCGTATCTGCATCAAGCCTACTCTGGCCAAGGATGTGAATGCCCGTCCTTGCTGTTGCCCCAACCCTCCCCAACTTTCCTTTCCCCCTCTTCCTCCCCGCCATTACCCTGCCCTGGCCTGAAGAGTCACAGAAAACTGAGCAATCAGAACAAAGGCCAGATAGGCACCTACCAATTCCAGAAAAGGACAGGTCAGGGCATCCCCCAATTGAAGCAAAGGACAGGTTGAGGGGCCCACCAATCAGAACAAAGGACAGACTGTTCTAAGCCCCCCTGGGGAGGGAGCTGGGGGAGAGATGCAGGGGTGCAGCTAGGGGAGGGATGCTCCTACCAGACTGGGGCTGGAGGGCCAGAGACTTGGGTTCTGGACCTGGCCTGACTGGCTGGCTGACCACAGGGAGGTCACTCTTGGTGCCTCAATTTCCTCATCTGTCAAATGGGGAGACTCAGTTGTCCCAAGCTTGTGACTTCGAAAATTTTCTCCCCAATGTTAAAATTCAATCCATCATTGCCTTGGCCTCTTTTCCCCAATTTCCACATCACACATATATCAGACTCCACAAAAGAGCAGGAGCTCTCAGGGGTCAGCTTGCCAACCCCACTGCCTCCAGGGATTGACCTAAATCATCACCACAGTTTGGGCACCTGCCTTTGGAGCCCCAATCTCAGGAGCTTGGGTCTGGCAGACATTATTTTGGGATTCTCTGGGGGCACTGGTTCTTCCTCCCTTTGTTAGTCTGAAGATTTGACATTGAAAGGTCACACTAGCATATGTGTATACAGGTGTGTGCAGGTATTACTTGAGCCCTTGCCCCTGAATCTGCAAAGATATAGCTGCACCCATTAGAACCTGTGAGTGTGTGTGCCTAAAGGGTATCTGAAGGTATGCTGGGGTGTTTCTGCAAGGATATGGGGGTTTGTGGCTGTGTGGCTAGGTATGTGTAGCGCAGAGGGTATGTGAACTGGGGTGAGGGGCACCTAAGAGTCAAAGAACAAGGGATCCAGGTTGGTGACAGAATTTTTGGGAATCAACAGTTTCCTGTGTCCTAAGGCAGAGACTAAGATGTGTCTTCACATCTTGAACAGTGAGAGGGCTCAAAGGGAGGCTGGGGGTTGGGGAGAGCAATTCTGAGTGAGCATTCAGGGAGAAATCCCGCTGCTGCTCCCTCTCCTGGAAGCATAGGATTGGGTGGGGGTGGGGGAGGAAACTGCAACCAAGAAGTGAAATTTCACCCAAGGGTGAAATCTGGAGCTGAAGTCTAGACCTCAATGCAAAACTCCCCTCTGCAGCCTCTAGGACAAATGGGCATTTATCCCATCCTTGTACTCCCTCAAGGATGGGGAGCTTACTCCCTCCCTCTCTCCTGGTGGCCTCTGCCTTTGTAGGATGGCTCTGCCTACAAGAAGGTCCTTCATCCCACTGGGCTGAGGCCAGCCTCCTGTGGACTCCTATAGGCCCCCTGGCTGTCCCTGGGGCTACAGAACCCAGTCTCCCTGCCCAGGAGGGTCTCAGAGATTGGAGTCAGAGACTGAGACTTCTGAGTCTGCTCTGTTTTAGGCTGGGCATCCCCAGGTTCTCCAGCCTTAGTCACGTGCAGGACTTGGTTTTCAGTTCCCTCCTTACATGAGTCACCTCCTCTGGATGCATTTCATCTTGTCTTTACCTGGGACACAATGCACTGGGGAGGGTCTGGCCAGCCTAGAGAAGTAGGGGGACCATCATCTTCCTTATCTGGGTTAACAGATTTCTACTAATATGACCTAAACTTGTAGCATTTCACCTTTTTACCAGCCCTGCTTACACCATGGGCTTGTGCTGAGCTTGTGGTCCACTAAGATTCTTGACCACATATGGTCTTCACATGAATGGGGGCCAAGCCATGTCTCCTTCATCCTATAGTCAGTCACTTTGCTTTTTGAACACAAACCCAGCCATCCACAGGGAAGACACTAGAAAGGACTTCCAAGGGCTGGAGGAGGGCATGGCTGAGTGGATGGTATGAGTCACAGTCCTGCCTTGGCTCTGGATCCTCTGTTCCGTTACCTTTCTCTTTGATCCCTGTGGCTCTGGCCAAGTTAATAGAGCGAGATGCGGGAAACTTTGTTGTCTCTGTTCCGGCCCTCCAAGGACGAGACCTGTTCCTGCGAGCGGAAGGCTGTGAGGCGGTCAAGGCTGACTTCTTCTTTCTCTCCTGTGGTTGCCAGGGCTGGCCCAGCTGCACTCCTCCCACCTTGTGGGCTCATGCATCCCTTGGACTCATGCTACTCCCAGGACAGCCCCTCACTAGGTTGGAAAATGAGATGGGGTGAGACCCTTCCCTTCTGGGGAAAGCTGGGACCCAGCATCAGTGAACACTCAGCTGAGTACCTACTCTGTGCTGGACACTCTGTGAGGCATTTTTGTTGCTCAGTTTCATCTTGTCTTCATGTCAGCCTGTTGGGGGGATAGCCACAGTTGTTCCAAATTTACAGATAAGAAGATTGAAGTTCAGTGACTTGCCCAAGACACACATTTCTAATAACTAGTGGCGCTAGGATTCCAATTTGGTTTTTTTTTTTTTTCTGCCTTTGTTTTAATGTGGAGGCCTGTGCTTTACCTACCATGCCAGCGTTTGTCCTCGAGTGAAGGACAAGAAACCTGGGGTGGAGTCCAGGCTTATCCTCTTGACTCACTGTGAGGCCTTTGCTAAGTCCCTGGCCCCTCTCAGAGCTTCAGTTTCCCCATCTGTAAGATGAGGGGATGGGAATAAAAGATGCGCGTCCAACTTGGACATTCTGTGGCCTTGAGACTGATTCTGAGATCCTAAGACCACGGTATTCGAGTGTCTGAAAGCCTCGGTCTCTGGGTCTAAGCTGCGAGGTTCATGCTTACTGCCCTCTGGGCAGATGGGGCTGCCCTGGGGTTCCCTGGTCTGCCTGGCGATGCCCCTCACTGCTCTTTCCTCTCTTCCAGGATGCTTTGCTGAGCCTAGGCTCTGTCATCGACATTGCAGGCCTGCAACAGGCTGTCAAGGAGGCCCTTTCAGCTGTGCTCCCCAGAGTGGTAGGTGCTCACCCTTACCCCACACTTGCCCATCCTTCAGGCAAACCTTGCCCAGCTCTGTGCTGGGCCTCACACAGAGTCGAGGAAGAAAGAATAGACAGGGTCCCTGACTAGTGGAATCTCAAAAGCAAGTGAAGGGTTTGGGTGGATGTTCTGAGAAGCCTTCCTGGAGGAGGAGAAATTAAACTAAGACCCAAAGAATGAACTCATACAGGAATCCTGGAATGTCTGGGCCAAATGGGCCTTAGAGGTTAACTGGAAAAACCATGTCTTAGAGATGGAAGGAATTCACCTAGGATAACACAGCTAGGACGAGGTGCAGGCAGGTGAGTTTTGGAATCTGTGCAGCGGGAGTGGTTGAGGGTAGACATGTAGAAGAACTTCCAGTATGAAAGGTCTGGAACATGCTGAAATGGGCTCAGCCTTGATGAATGGGTCTACACTGGGTTAAAGTGTTCTATCCAGAGACAGGAGACTGGACACGATGATCTCCAGCAACCTTTAAGCTTCTCTTTGGAAGAGGTCACAACACTGTGGATGAGGTCACAGATTTCGTGCAGGTGGAGGGTGGTGACCATTGTTGCCTGGGTCCAGAGAGCCTGGGTAGGGGGACTGTGCTCCCCTTCAGCTGCACCAGGCCACTCCCCACCCTGGTTCCACTGGCCACGGTTTATCCCTTAGGTAGGAGGATGGATAAACTGGCCCTCGAGGCCCAAAGCAACAGGTTCTCAGTTGTGCCAGACAGAGAGAAGCAGGGGACTATGGGAGCCTGGGGAGGAGGGTCTGATCCAGCCTAAGGGGCATGGAAGACTTCCTGGAGGAGGAAATGCCCAAATTGAGTCCCCATGGCTTGGAATGTCCTCTCTCCTACTCTAGACACCAGCCAAGGGCAGCCTCTGCTCCAGGAAACACAGCCAATTCAGAATGTGACCCCCTCATTGTCCCTGGATCTGCTTGATGGATGAACCACCGGAGACCCAGAGAGGGAAGGTGCATCCCTCAATGACACACAGCATGACAGAGACAAACAGGGCTTGGCTTCTAAGCACCCGCACTCTATCTCCCCAGCTCTGCCTTCCCTGAAACCTGCTAGAAGTTCACAGCCCAAGAGAAGGGCTAATGAGTGAGCCTTATTGAGCGTGAAATTGGTAGGAAGTGGGTGGTGTGTTGGCACCCAAAAATAAATTCTCCCGGAGAGGGATGGGATGAGGTAACATCTGGCCCAGGGTGGGTGGGGGCACATCTGGAAAGGGAGGGTGGGAAGACTGGCGCGTTAGCATCCATAGGACTGTTCTGGGCCCCTCTGTGGCCACTGAGGCTGCCCTGGGATTGGGGAGGAGGAGGTGACTAGCCAGGTCTTCACAACACAAATGCCCTGCGTTGGATTAATTGTCCCCCGAAATCTGGGGGCTGGGAAAGCAGCTGTGGTTGAGGCAACTGGGTTCATGGGACAGCGGGAGAAGTCTACCCTGGCCCACCCAAGAGACCTGTATGAGTTACCAGAGCCCTGACCTCAGCGAGCCCTGGCTTAATTGCCAAGAAAGGCTCAGCCCTCCGGGAGATGAGGGAGCTGAAGGGTTTGCTCAGCCCCCAGGGAGGGGCAGGGAGCTGGGGTGTCTGCTCAGCTGCCAGGGAAGGGTGGGCAAGTGGGGGAGGGGTCTGCCAACCCCCAGGGAGGGGTAGGGAGCTGGCACCTGGCTCCCTCATTAGCACCCATTGTGGCAAGCAGCCCTGAATACAGATGGTGCTGATGTGTCTGAAATGCTTCCCTCCCTCTCTCCAATAAACTTGGCTAATTTTAACCCAGAGAGCTGTGAGTGAGGGGGTGGGAGACAGAAGGACATCCCGGAAGTGAAGATCTGTGCCCCTCACCCCTCCACGGATTATCCACCCCTCTTTGCCAGGTGTCCCCAGGGTGGTCTCTTGACCCCTTTGGGCCAAATCCCTCAGGCCCCTCCCAGGCTGCAGACAGGGTCAGATGACAAGAAGTAGGCTGGATATAGATGAAGAGTGGGTAGCCTTCTTCTCACTGATTCCTTTACCCCTGAACTCTGCACCTTGACCCTCACCCAGGAGGACAAGGGGACTCCAGACCTTGACTGTGTCTGTCCCCCACCCCCCTCAGGCCCCTTCATTCCCCACCCCATGAAGCCTTGCTTATGTCTCTGGGAATGGTGGCTGGGGCACCTCATGGGGGCTGGCTGGGGGCTCCAAGGGCAACAGGAGCTGCTGGCCAATTGTGGACTCTCGAGTTACTAACAGCAACTGTTTCTGCTGAGAATTCCACCCAGCTCTAATATCACCTTCAACTGAGGCCCTCCCTAATACCCTCAGCAGGGAGGAGAACCCTCTCCTGTCCTCCCTGCCTCCCAGTCCCTTCCAGATACTTGGCTGGGCATGTGGGTGCCTCCCTTACTGGAGTACACTCCTTCAGGCAGGGACTGGTGTCTCCACCTCGCCTAGTCAGACACAGTGTTGGCACTGGAGACGCTCAGCAAGGCCGTGCTGAATGGAGCTTGGCTGTGGATTCCTAAGGGTAGCACATCTTGCTTGGAGGAAATGTGGATTTTGGCCTGTGGGTCAGTGAGGGCAACTACGTCTGCCAAGACGTGGTCCAGAACTGAGGCCCAAGCCTCCTCTGGGTCCTTGGAGAATGCAGATGGGCAAACCAAAGACTTGACAAGCTTCGAGCAGAGCTTTGATCCCACTCTGGGGAGCGATCGTTCCAAAATACAAATCTGCTCATGTCTCTCCCAGCTCACCGCCCGTCAGCAGCCCTGTCATCCTTTCCCAGCTGGGTTTACAAGGCCCTTCCAGCTCAGGCCCTGCTGACTTCCAACCTGCCTCCCGTCCCCCTCCCCGCACCCCCCCCCCGTCAGTCCCAGAAATGCTTGTGCCCTTTACACGTCTGGGACTACACACATGCTGCTTGGCCCAGAAGCTGTTCTTCTGTACCCGGCCCCCTGCCTGAATGTGTCTAATTCCTACTCCAGTTACAACTTAAAGGCCGCTTCCTCCAGGAAGCCCTCCCGGGCCTCCACTCAATGATGGGTGTCATACCCTGGCTTAGGTCATGGGTGTGTGGTTTCTTGTAGAGGTATCTGTTTCCCTGGAGGGAGGAGGTAAGCTTCCAGGAGCATTCTGAGCACCTCCAGCATTAGATGCTCAGTTATTAGTTGCTGAACGTCTGAGACTGGAGCCACAGTGGGGTAATATCCTGGGTGGGAGGTGATTTGTCTGCCCCTCAGCCCTTCAAACCCCTTCCCCCAGCACCTTGGATTTGGTGTGATGGGTAAGGAAAGTCAGCAGGTTCATGGCCAGAACCTCTTCAAAGAGGAGAGGGGGAGGTGCTCTGTTCATAAGGTGTTTTCTGCCCTGGCTGAGCATTAGAACCACCTGGGGAATAAAAACAGGTAGACAGACAGACAAACAAATGCCTGAGCCCCACTCCCAGAGGGTCTGATGACCTCGCCACACAGACCCCTACAGGCTGGGAGGGTCTCTCCACATGGTCTCATGAGTGCCTTCTGTCCTAGGAGACCGTCTACACCTACCTGCTGGACAGGGAGTCCAGGCTGGTGTGTGAGGACCCTCCACACGAGCTGCTCCAGGAAGGGAAAGTCCGGTAAGCCATTCTCCCCATCCCCATTGTCCTCTGAACAGTCAAGGATTCTCAGGCCTGGAGCACCCTTGGCGGTCATCTGGTCTGATCCTCCGCATCCAACCTTAAGCTCGGCATCCCTGCCAGAGGGCTGTTCCTTGGCTCGGTGGCTGACCTCCAGCATAGGAGAGAGAAGAAATGTCTCCCCTCATGTTGGGGAAGTGGACGGACACAGGGAAAGTGCCAACTGGGAGGTTTTCTCATCATAGTTCTTCTGAATTGCTGTGGCCTCTTCCTCAGAGCAGAGTCTCAGAATGTTGGAGCTACAGTGCTATTAGTTAGAATCCAGCAAGCTCTGAGAATTGCTTGTGAGGCTGGGCTCGGAATCACAGAACACTGGACCTGCTGGAGCCCATGGTGTCAGTAGCCCTGTGTCTGAGAACAGGGAAATCAGAGGCTGTGTCCTGCTATGGGATCTGAGGCCTGACTGCCTAGGTTCAAGTCCCAGCTCCCTGTTTACTAGCTGTGTAACCTTGGGCAAGTTCTTTAACTTTTCTGTGCCTTAGTTTTCTTCTTTGTAAAATGGTGATAATAATAGTACCTATCTCATAGGGTTGTTGCAAGCATTAAATGAGTTTAACACATAAATCATTTAAAACAGGGCCTGATCCATAATAAATGCTATCTAAGTGTTTGGTAGGAGCCCTGGTGGCGCAGTGATTAAGCACTTGGTTGCTAACTGAAAGGTCAGTGGTTCGGACTCACCAGCCACTCCTTAGGAGAAAAGACCTTGCGATCTGCCTAGGAAACCCTATGGGGCAGTTCTACTCTGTCCAGTAGGGTCATTATGAGTCAGAATTGACTCAACAGCATTCAACAACAAGTGTTTAGTATTATTATGATTATGTTAGAAGGTTGGAATCACCGATTTTAGGGTCATGGATTCAGCACTCTCTGTGCCTCTGATACCTCTGTACCCATTGAGTTCAGACTCCTCGTTTTCCAGATGGACAGATGTCATGAGATGTGTTCCAAGTCACATACCTGGTGTGAGGCAGAGCCAGGCCTGGGACGTGGGCCTCCTGGCTCCTGGACATTCAGGGGACAATGAGCGGAAGTGAAACTTGTCAGAAGAGAAAGTGTTGAAGGGCAGAAATGCTTGTCAGAAGAAGGGCTGGCCCTGGAGGACATGACCACTGCCTTCTCAGCACAAACAGGCCCGGGGAGGGAGGGATTGAGAGCTAAGGGCACAGTGGGTACCAGTGGGGTGACCAGAGGTAGCTTTCCTCTCCCTGTGAGGAAGGCTGTTCTAACAGGCCACGCGGTCCAGTGATGTGGCTTTTTTAGGTAGTAGTTGAGGCTGAAGGAGCCGTGGTGGCACAACAGCTAAGTGCTCAGCTGCTAACCAAAATGTTGGTGGTTCCAGCCCACCCATAGGAGAAAGACCTGGGGATCTGCTTGCATAAAGATTACAGCCAAGAAAACCCTATGGGGCAGTTCTACTCTGTAACACATGGGGTCGCTATGAGTTGGAATTGACTCAATGGCACCCAACAACAAAACAGTTTAGGCTGGGGAAGACTCACCTTCCACAGAAGCCATGGAAAGAATTATTTCTTAGGGATGCTGGGCCTGTGGTCTTGAGGCCCCTCTTGGCACCTGGGAACACTGGATTCTAGGATGCTTGTCCCCAACCCCTGCTGTTCCCTGTGGAAATGGTTTGTGCCTCTCTGATAGCTCAGAACCCTCCCACCTCCTGTTCTCCCGCTTGAGTCCCCATGTGGGTGTGTGGGTGGGTGACACTTTCCCTTTCAGCATCTCCTGACAATTCTTCTTCCCTGCAAGGACTATGTGAACCAAGCCAGTCACTGGCCCTCTCGGGCCTCCACTGTCTCATCTGTAACATGGTGGGATAGTGCTGGAAGTTCTTCAGAATCTTAAGGAAAAAAAAAAATGTTACAATGTCCCTTTTTCTCCCCTGAACCAGCACCCCCACCCCTAATTATAAAGAACTTTGTTTAATATGAGCTTGCCCCTCCAGGATGGCTCCCTGAAGCAGCCTGGGGAGGCCTTCCTGGGGCACGGTTGCAGGATGATGGTTCAGAAGGCAGAAGGGGAGCATCCTGCAGGGTTGGCTACCCCTTCAGCCCCCGCAAATACTCCTGCCAGGCTGTCTGCTGTAGGTGGAGACGGGGTGTGGTTGAGGCATCTTTGAGGGGCTTGGATGCTCTGTATCAGAGGCCCTTTCAGCATTCTCCCTGCCCCCAGCCACTTCAAACTCAGGAAAGCCTTTTGAAAAGGCACCAAAAAAAGCAATTAAAAGTGAATACTCAAATGCAATTAGCCTAGAGCTCAGTGGCAGTGGGGAGGCGAGTGCCTGCTGGGAAGCAGGGCTCAGAGATTCCAGGAGGCTAAGGAGGGCAAGGGGCTTGAGGGGTGAGGGCAGGGGGATGTCCCAGGGGACACACAGATCAAAGTTCATCCAGGCAGGCAGGGATTAGGGGTGGGGTCCAGTTCTCTCTGTCCTGAAATCTGTGCTCTACCAGCCCATTCCGTGTCTGGTGGTGCGCCCACCTCTACAGCTAGGGCTTTGGGGCCTCAGGGTGGCTAACTCCTGCTCTGGGGAGCTCCCAGCAGGATCCAGGCTTAAGACTTTGACACGTGGAAGAGGCAAGAGCACTGGAATGAATGTCAGCCCAGACTCATCCTCACCTTACTGTGTCCCCTCCCTGAACCTGTTTTCTTATCTATAAGATAGAGATAATGGTAGGACCTATCTATCGGCTTGCTATGATGGTTTAAAGGAGTCCTGGTGGTGCCGTGGTTAAGTGCTCGACTGCTAACCACAAGGTTGGTGGTTTGAGCCCACCCAGCTCCAGGGTGAAAGACCTGCGATCTGCTCCTGTAGAAAGTGATGATGGCACCTAACAACACCAACATGATCGTTGAATGAGATAATACATGCCAAGTGCTTGCACAGTGCCCAGCACATAGTAGGAGCTCAGTGATTGCTAGTTGCCCCCCACTCCCAAGTCCCAACAGGATTAAGTCATTGGGAGATCTTGAGAAAATGACTTCCTTTCTGGCCTCCTTCTCTGTTTCTATAAAATGTGTGGGCTGTGTGCAGGATCCTTCCAATGGTGACCTCTATGGCTCTGGACCCATTAGGAGGTGGAGGTACCTGCTCACAGGCTGAAATGGAGTCTGAGGCTTTGGCAGCACCTGGTGTGGGATGGGAGGGTGTTGGTGTGTGTGTGTATGTGTGTGTGTGTGCTTGTGTGTGTGTGTGGCAGTGGGGTGGGGGGAGTGCTCCTCCAGGACACCCTGGAGAGCTGGCGGGGCTGGCAAACAGCAGCAGGTATGAGGTGAAGTCTGGATCGTAAAGACAGATAAGGCCCGAGGGAAGGGACAGAGGATGGGCTAAGAGAAGAGGCAGGGTAGAGATGGGCCAAGATGGGAGTGAGGACACCCCTGGCAGCCACCCAGCCCCACCTACCACTGCCCCTTACCACTCCCTGGGCTCTCAGATGCCTGGTTTCACCCCAAACATGTGTTAGGCTTGCCTGCCTCCTTGTGCAGGCTCAGACTGTTTCCTCCCCTGCAAAGTCCTTTTCTACTCCATCTAGGTGTCAGCCAATCCATGTTTTACTCATCTTTCATGGCCCAGCCAGAGGCCCTCTTTTGGAAGCCGAGCATGATCCATATGTGGAAAGCTCCCCTTCTCTGTCACTAAGGAGGTTCCAATTCTCAGAACAAGTGTCTGGACAGGAATGGATCTGTTACAAATGGTCCTAGCGTACACTTTGCTTATGCAGAGAGGGTGGGAGGGAGAGCCCTGGGCTGGGGGTCAGGAGACCTGCAATCCAGGATAGCAAGGTCACAATTCCAATCCCTTCTATAAAATGATAATGTTGGACATTCTGATATCTGAGGACTGATCAGGCTCTGAATCTGGCTCTGCATTCTAAGGGCTGACAAATGGCCTCAGGGCTGGAAAGAGTTTGGGAAAGCTGTCTGGAGGATGGTCTTCCTGGAAGGCTTCACCTCCCTCCTGGTAGTGCCCCCCATCCTACTCTCCCAGCCTATTTCTGTCCCCAGCCCTGCCGCCTTCCTCTCCTTATGGTGTCTTCTGCCATGTTAAAGCTTCTGATTACCCACTGCTGAGAGCAGCAAAATCTCGGGCCTTTCAGCTGCAACTGAGCTGCCACCCCCACCAGCCTAAGCTGGTTATTGCCCTCAGCTAGCACTTGGAGGTCCCAGGGTCCAACCTTGAGAAAGTTCTTCCTTAGAGCTGACCTGGTTTCCTCTCACTGCAATATCTGTCTGTCCCTCTGGTTTGTCTAAAGGGACCCAGCGGATAGTCTATTCCCATGTCTGAAATTTCACGTTCTGGCAGAGAGAGAGGTAAAGGAGGGTCCAGATCTATCGCTAAGAGAGAGATGAAAGGTTGGAGAGGTGTTGAGGCTCAGTGAGGGGGATGAGGGCTCAGTGAGGGGGATGAGGGCTCAGTGAGGGGATGAGGGCTCAGAAAGGGAGATGGGTTGGGGTTCATTGAGGGGGATGGGGCTCAGTGACAAGGATGATGGCTCAGAGAGGAGGATGGGTCTTACTGAGGGAGACGAAGGCTCAGTGAGGGGGATGCGGCTCAGTGAGAGGGATGAGGGCTCAGAGAGGAGAATGGGGCTCAGTGAGGGGGATGTGGCTCAATGAGGGGGAGAAGGGCTCAGTAAAGGGGATGGGGCCTTACCAAAGAAGGATGACTCAGAGACTGGTATGGAGGCCTGGGTACTTAGCTCCTTCCAGGCCATCACTCCTACTACAGAGAACCTTTCCTTTCACCCTTTTTCCACTAAACAAATAGTTGTTAAAGGGACTAAACCATCATAAAATCCACACCTGTTCCTCTCTTCCCTCTTTACCCATCTGTCTTTATCTTCAGTGCGGCAGGCCATGCCCACCCAGGAACCTGGGGCTGCGTCATTAGGGTGCAGCCTGGACAGCTGGCACTGGGGTGTAGAGCCCCACCCCTCCTAGCACCAGCCTGGAAGGTGGGGCACAGGGCGGGAGAGAGGGAGGGGAGGAGGCAGGGAGGGGGGGTCTGAATTGAGGGGAGAATTATCAGGGGGTCTGAGCAGTAGACAAAGCCCCAACCCCATCTGGGGTAGGGGGCTCAGCCTCGGCACCCCGCCTCCTTTCCAGTCTGTGGGATTTTGAAGCCTCCAGGGGTACAGCAGTTTTGGGAAGGGGGAGCAGAGGAGGAAAGGGACTGGGGGAGGGGGAAGGAGAGGGGGTATTGAGGTGAGCATTTCTTGGCACACCCCTGCTCAGGTTATGGGATGTGGCAGGGCCTTGGGAGGGCTGGTTGTAGAGCAAAGTACCAAGATAAGGGACTTCTTGAGGGATCCTTAGAGGCCTCAGCGCTTGGCCAGGGGATCTGGACCCAGTTAAGGTTGATCTGGCCCAGTCCAGCCCCTCCTCTATCCAGGAACCACTGAAGGCTCAGAAGGCACGAGGGGAGCATATTGCAGGGTTTGCACTGCCCTCCGGACCCTGCAAATGCTCATCTCAGCTGTCTGCTGTGAGGTGGCTTGAGAGTGTGGATTTCCGGTCTCAAATTTTCCCTCTCTAGTGAGAGTCTCAACCCGGCGGTCAGCATGATCGGCCATTACTTTCCCCTGCCAATTCCTCCCGGCCTCCTACTGCCCTCAGGATCAAACCCAGCCTCTCAAGCACCTGGCCCCTCTCCAGCCTTGCTCTCTGCTGTCCAGCCACACCAGCCTCCTTGTGCCTGGAACTTCCAGCAGACACACATTCTTTCTGTCTTCTGAGCCTTTGTCCAAGCAGGTCCCTCTGCCTGCACATCCTTTCCTGTTGGCCTCCATAACCTCTGCATGTCTCAACTCAGACACCGCTTCCTCCAGGAAGCTTTCTCTGACTCCACTCCCATCCTGCACTGGGGTAGGCTGGGGCCTGCTCTTCTTCCCATTGTCAGAGCCCTCATCCTTGGACTCCAGTGTGGGTTTATATGTCAGTCCTCCACCACACTAGGCCTCCATGAGTCAGTGTGTATCCAACTCATCTCATCTTCAGCCCTGAGTACAGAATTGGACCCAGAAGGACCCTGAATAAATACACTGAAAGGAAAGACTTTTAAGTAGAATGCTCCCATAAGAACTTTAGAATAGAAAACTTGCTCTTGGTCTGGTATAGAGGATGGATTTAAGGGATCCAGACAGGAGGCAGGGGAGAGCTACTGCAGGGTGAGAGATACATAGGAGGTGACTCAACCCATTGAATGGGGGAGGTAAGAAATAGGGAGTTATCTAGGACAGTTTATGGACAAGCCGAAAGGGACTTGGTGGATGGTTGTGCCACTTTGGGGGTGATGGGGACAGTAAGTTCAGAATGGTATGGGCTGCCTTTGGGATACCTCGGTGACATCCAGGGGAGGCCTCCAGGAGACCTTGGGTATCTGGGGTCTAGAGCTCACAAGAATGGGGTCTGGAAAGTTATGAAGCCATGAGCACAGAGGAGGGAGTTTTGTGCAGAAAAAAGTCTGAGGACAAATTCCTTCTTTGGGCTCCCTGGGAAGAGAGGTTCCCTGGGTCTAGGGGATGGTGAAGGGGGAGTCGGGGTTCAGTGAGATGAAGCTGCAGTGCTCACTGACTAGCAATACAGGGACCAGCGCCACCTTGTGGCTTCCCAATAACCATATTTCCAAGGCCAAGTGGCTGGATGGGGTCCACACAAAGGGGGCTTGGCTGCGGGTCACCAAGGCCAGCCCCTGCCTCTATGAAGCCTCAGCCTTCATCAATACAGTCATCAGGAAATGTGGTTTCTGTTGCCCTCCTGCCACCCTAGGTCCCTATTCCTTCCTGGGATGACTGGCACAGTAGAGACAGCCCAGAACTGGAGCCCAGCACTCCAGGAGCCTTGAAGGTCCAGGGTGTGAGTGTGGAAAGGTGGTGGTGGTGGAGGGGGAGTACCACTGGTTTTTATAGATTCTGAACCGGTGGAAGGGGTTAGAAGTGAACAGGTCTGGTTCAGAATGCTGTGTGACCTCGAATGAGATGCTCGACTTTGTTGGTGCTCTATTTTTCTAGTGGGTGTGACCTCCTGATTTGGAGATTTGCAGGCCACCCCCTCTCTTTTCCTCACCTGACTTTTGCCATGCTCCCCTTAGTAACCCCATATGCAAACACCGATGTCCGAGCCCCGTAAGTGTCCCTTTTGTCCAGGCCAGGCAGTTCCTACAAACCCAATTAAGTGGAGGCAGCATGAGAGATAAAGGACCCAGGACATGTGGTGAAAATTCAGGCACATAATTAAGCAGGAAGAGCAAGAGACCAGGGTTGAGGGTATGCATGGTGGGGGCAGAGAGAAACTCATTCTTCCCACTTCAACCCATCCTGCCTCAGTTCCTGCTTCCCCTTCCCACCATTACACACATGCCTTTTGCCTCCTCGACACTCATGCCAGTCCTCTTCAGCTCTTTGGGAAGGTTCAAGCCTAGTGGTGAAGAGTATGGGCTCTGGTACCAACTGCCGGGGTTCAAATTCTGGCTCTACCACTTATTAGCTGTGTGACTTTGAACAGGTTACTTAACCTCTCTGTGCCCTAGTTTCTCCATCTGAAAATGGAGATGATGATAATATCTAATTCATAGGGTTTGTTGGGAATTTTGAGTTAATCTATGTAAGTTTCTTGGACAGTGCACAGACATAGGAAATGCCCCCAAAAGCTTTGGTTATGAAGATTATCTCTGGAGGTGCCCCTCCTGTGCCTGGCACCAAAAGTTGCTCTGTAATTGTTTACTGAGGATGGTGATGGTTAAGATTTTACTCTCCTCCATACTAGTGCTCTCAGAGGCTCAAGACAGGTTACGACACTTGTCTAAATACAAGGAGTAGCAATGGCAGGCAGGCTTTAACTTGGGCAGTCTTACTCAAGCCCTTGCTTTTACTTGTTCTGCTCTCACCCTTGCTGGGAATCTGAACTGGGCCCCGCAGGTGCCTTTTCCATGTCTGCTGCCTGAAAAAGGCAGCAGAGGCCAGGCTGTGGCCACCTGCCCCTCCTCGTGTCCACCCTGAAGCAGGTGAACTTGTCCAGACCCTCCCAGATGTGCAGGGTCCAGCCTGCTATGTGTCCCCAGTTTGGGGCCTGCTCCTCTTTGATTCAGGGGTTGAGAGGTGGGGTCATGTCCTCTTTTCAGAGAGGCTGTGATCTCCCGGAAACGGCTGAGCTGCAATGGATTGGGCCCCTCGGACCTGCTGGCGAAGCCCTTGGGCAGGCTGGTGGCTCCACTGGCCCCTGACACCCAAGGTAAGAGCTGGGAGCTGGGCAGGGGCAGGGAGGGATTGTGGCCCCTGATCCCCAGGTCACATCTGTCTTCTTTTGTCTTCATCTCTCCGTCTCCTTCTTTCTCTTGCTCTGTGTCTCTCGTAATCCTTCCATCTAATTCTCTCTCTATTGTGCTACTAACCTCTCTGAGCCTGTTTCCTGATCTATAAAATGGGAACAATAGTACCTACCTTGAGGGGGCGCTGCAAGGAGGATCGAATGAGACAATGCATGTTCAGGGCTTGGTACATACTAGGGCTCAGTGGCTGATGGCCGTGGTCGCCATGTGCAGATGTCTATTGCTAGCTGGGGCTGTAGCTGCTGTCATGCTCTCTCTGTCATTATCTCTGTTTTTCTCTCTTCTCCTCTCCATGCCCCCTGTCCGCCATGTCTCTCTGCCTCATGTCTCAGTCTCTCTAGGTTTCTGTCCTCTGTATCGATGTGGAAAGTGCACAAGACTGGGAGTCAGGAAACCTGACTTGCTGTGTGATTTTGGGCAAGTCACTTCCCCTTTCTGGACCTCAGTTTCCTAATCTATAAAATAGGGGTGTTCAGCCTTACCTATCTCCCTCCCCTCCCAGGGCTGCCGGGAGGATCATGAGAGAGTTACCAGGTGAAGGGGGTTTCCCTCTATGCAGGGGTTGCTCTGTGGTTGTTCTTGTCGCTGCCTCAGGCCCCCTCTCTCTGTCCTCTGGGTCTCTGGGTCCCTCTGTGCCTCTGTCCCAGTCTCTCTCTGTCTGCATCTTTGTCTCCCTCCCTGGGTCCGGCTCAGTATCCCTGAGCCTCACTGGCCCCGCAGGACCACCTCATTGCCCTCTCCCCCTCAGTGCTGGTCATACCACTGGTGGACAAGGAGGCCGGTGCTGTGGCTGCTGTCATTTTGGTAAGAGCCCGTCCAGGTGGTTGTGGGGTGGGGTGGGGGGAGGAGAGCAGGAGAGTGAGCCATGGTTGGAGCCTGTCTGGGGTGTATATGTGTGTTGTGTGTGTGATATATGATAGCAGCAGGCTGCTGGAGTGGCGGGAAATGGGGGTCTGGGAGGAGTCTGGGGCTTCTCCCATACCCTAGACCTTGGCCCCACCCTGAGTGGGCAGGACGAAGCTGCTGGTCCAGTCAGCAACTTGCACAGGGTGTACAAGCCCCACCTGGATCCTCAGCTCCCATCGAGCTGTGAATGCCCAGCCCTTGGCCCAGCCTTGACCTTGCCTCCTCTTTAGAACCCCTTCACGGGTTGAGGGGTGGGTTAGGGAGTAGGTTGGAGGTAGCAGCATCCAGAGAGGGCACAAGTACAGTGAAGTGGGAAGTGACAGACACTAAGGAGGGATGAGGGGGACATAAGGCACTGACAAATAGAGACAGTGTGGGAAACTCAGGCAGAGATTCAGGTGGCTGGAGCTAAGAGTCCTGAGGAGAGGAGGCCTGTGGGGATGGGGCTTCATGGGAGGGCATAGGACCCAAGCCAGAGTTAGGAATGAGGCTGGGGCAGAAGCCGGGCAACTACTGCGGGTTTCCTGGAGCAGGTGATGCACGGGGAGAGGAAGGGGCATTAGCAGGAAGTGGAATGGAGTTGGCCGGGGAACCCAGGCCAAGCCTCCGTGCTGCCCTCTGCTGCCCCTCGTGGATCCACTGGGTTTTTGCTCTGCTGGCTGGTATTGACGGCACCTGGAGAGGGTGTGGGGTTCTGCCGCTCTTGCAGTCTACCGTCCAGTATGGAGATTTTGTTAGCTGCCATGGATTCGGCCCCTGACTCATGCTGACCCCAAGCACCACGGAAAGAAATGCTGTTCACTCCTGTGCCATTCCCATGATTAGTTGGGGATAGGACTGATGCGATCCACAGGGTTTTCACTGGCTGATTTTCAGAAGTGGATCGCAAGGCATGTCTTCCTAGTTCATCTTAGTCTGGAAGCACTGCTGAAATCTGTTCAGCATCATAGCAACATACAGTTCTCCACTGACAGACAAGTGGGGGCTGTGCATGAAGTGCATTGCTTGGAAATTGAACCCAGGTCTCCCACATGGAAGGTGAGAATTCTACCACTGAATGAATCACCATTGCCTCCAGTATGGGGGTAAAAAAAGAAAAAACCATTGCTGTTGGGTCGATTCCGACTCATAGTGACCCTTATAGGACAGAGTAGAACTGCCCCACAGGGTTTCCAAGGAGCACCTGGTGGATTCAAACTGCCAACCTTTTGGTTAGCAGCCAAACTCTTAACCACTACGCCACCAGGGTTTCCAGTATGGGGTAGGAGACTGAAAATCCTTGTCCTGTCCTAGGAGCAGAAGGGTGAGTGCCCCCAAATCACCATTATTTGGGGGTCCACTTCCAATAAGGCGACTGCCATCCCAACAAGGGACAGGCTTCAGGCGCGGACAGATAAATGAGCCCATCTTGGTGTGCCCAGGAGACTCCTCCTGGGCTCATTAGAACAGAAGTAAAGATTTCCAAGGCTTCTGACCTTTCCGGAGCTGCTGGTGGGAAAGTGGTGGTGGTGGTGGGGAGTTGGAGGTGGCTGCAAGGGAGAGGAGAGGAAGGGAGGGCTGGGGTACTTGGATTAGTCTCCTCCCCTCACCATCTGCTTGACTGAGGGTGCTGTGGTCCCTTCCTGGCTTCTCCCACAAGCTGCTCTCCCCACCCCCAGCTTCTGTTCCCTCAACGGATCTGCTGTTGGCAGAGTTCTCATGGAGGTGCTCCCTCCCTCCTTTGATCCTAGTCTGTCCCAGAGCTGGGGGTGCCAGATTCCTTATATTGAGACCATGAGGGCTTGGGCCAAAGCAAAGCAGCTCCTGCAAGGGGAAGCCATTTAGAAGGTTGGTCACCCTATGGGCGGGGGCATGGCTGCTATGACTACTGCACACCTCGGTTGGGCCAGGAGTCCAGGCTTCAGCTTTCTCCTGGGGGAGGAAAAGCCGGTGTGTGTGTTACATTCAACCACCTTTGCAGAACCCTGCTCTGGGTCACGCCCAGAGCAGAGAAAGGAGTCAGACCCACCTCTGCCTTCTAGGAGCTCTCAGTCTGGGGAAGGCAGGGATGTCCTCAGGCCTCCACAAGCCAAATAAATGCTGCCACCTGATGCTCTGGTGGCAGAGGCTGGAGCAGCAGGGAGGGTGTCACAGTGGAGATGGCATTTGAGTGGGGCTTTGGGGTATGGGGAGCCCTGGTGGTACAGTGGTTAAGTGTCTGACTGCTAACCAAAAGGGTGGGGCTTTGAGGCATCGGGAGCCCTGGTGGCACAGTGGTTAAGCATTTGACTGCAAACCAAAGGTCAGTAGTTTGAATCCACCAGCCACTCCTTGGAAACCCTATGGGCAGTTCTACTATGTCCTATAGGGTCACCGTGAGTCAGAATTCACTCGACGACAAGGGGTTTGGTTTTGGTTCTTTTGGGCACGGGTAGGAGGTCAACAGTCAGAGAAAGGAAAGGGTATTCCAGGCAGAGGGAATAGCATGAGCAAAGGCAAGTGGGAAGAAAAGTGGATATATTGGGGAAAGAGTGTGATCGGGGTTAAGTTGAGGTGTGGGGTACATACTATTGAGGAAGATGCTCTGTGGGCCTTTGGCTGCCAGGAGAAATTGCCAGCAATCCTCGCCTCACCCCCTGGAATACCCTGGGAAGTGGAGAGCTCTTGAAACGTGTTACTATTCACAGCACTGCCTCTCCTCCATGCCTGCACCTTCCCACTCATGTAGACAAGCACTTCCCCAGGAGCTCCTCCATCCCCCACCCCTCCACCCTCCCCCACCTCCCAGTGCATACACATCTACCAGCTCCTATCCTGCTGCTCCAGCCCAGTGCTCCTTAGCCACAGGATCTTACATCTTCCCAGAGGCAGCAAAAGCAGTCCCGGTCCCCCCAGCTGCTACCAGATCCTGAGGGCAGAGGGTGCAGAGGGTAGACGGGTGCCACAGTGCAGATCTTTTGGGAGTTCCAAGTCGCCAGTTCCTTCCTCAATAAGCCCCATGCCCTTCACTGAGCCTCTGCTCTTGGTATTCATCAGTTCACCCATCCATCCACCCATCTGCCCATCTACTGAAGAAACATTTCTTGAGCACTCACTATGTGCCAGGCACTGTGTGCCAGGTGCTGGGAACACAGCAATGGCCAAGATAGACCAGGAAGCCCCTGCTTTCACAGATCATCCAGCCTATTGGGGTGGGGGGAGAAGTGCACAAAAATAAAGATAGAATTGCAGACTATGGCAAATGCTAGCAAGGGGTGACCGGGGAGTCCTGCAAGGAATAACAGGGCCTGGCCGATATATGGTCAGAGGAGGGCCGTCTGAGGACTGCGCTGGCCAGGTGCAGGGCTTCGTGGCTCAGCTCTGGGCCTCTGCAGCTTGCAGCTCAAGGTGCCTTGATTGCAGATGCTTTGTGTGGAAAGAGTCTCTGGCCTGTTCTTCAATTCTGGGATAGTAAGCCCCTTTGATAAGTGGGCAGCCTTTCGTCTCTGGTATTTGATGCCTGATTTGTGCCCAGTCTTCTCCCCAGCTGCACCAGCCACACCAGCTCCTTGCATGGGAACAGGCCTTGATGCAATTAGCCATGTCAAGAAAACTTGGTGAGGGGTGGAGGCTGTGCTGGGCTTTCAGTCCCCCCTGCAGCCCCAGTGCCCCCTGTGGAGTGCTCCCACTAGGCCCTGGACACCCCCACCTCCAATCAGCAAATGTGTGTTCCTACTGGGGAGCAAAATGCTGTATGTGTGCAGGGATGATTGGGTGTGTTGGTGGGGGGGGCAAGTATGTGCATGGCTCTTGGGTATATGAACTTAAGTTTCCTGTGTACAGGTATGGATATGCAGGTGTGGGTGGATATAGACACTATGAGGTCTTTGTGTCTGTGACTGCAGTCTGTGTGTGTGTGTGTGTGTGTGTGTATGCATCTGAGGGTCTCCATGAGAGACTGTGTGTGTGTGTGTGAGAGAGAGAGAGAGAGAGAGGACCTGAATGTGTGTGTGTGTGTCTGAGTATGTCCATGGGAGAGGGAGTGAATGTATGCGTGTGAATGGACCTGAGGGTGTTCTTGAGAGTGTGTATGTGTGTTTGTGCACATGCTGACTGGGGGTGGGCCGAGGCAGTTCAGGAATGTGTGCTTGGGGTGGAGGAGACCCAGTGGGGTGGAGGAGGACTCCATGATTCCTTCCTTTCCCTCGGCCTTCTGAGCTCTCCTTCAGTCTCTGTCCTTTGTACTTGGGACCAGGTTGTTTTGACAGCCCAGGATCTGGCTGACCCCACAGCCCTAGGTGGAGCCAGACTTCCCTTTTCCTGAGAGATGGGTCTGGGTGGAAGGAGCAAAAAAGATGTAAGAGTAAAATGCCAACATGTTTATGCAAACTATATGCAAATGAGCCATGTCTCTAGCCTATTCCGACCACCTGCCCTGTAGGAACTATAGATGGAGCTTCATCCAGAGCTTATCCTCCAACACCATCCTGGTGGCCCAGGCCTCCTCTAGGTCTTCCTGCCTCCAGTCTTGCCCTCTCCAATTTATCCTACAGCCTGTAGACATGGCCCTTAGATGCTAAAGTCTGCCATGGCTACCCAGTACCATCAGGCTCAAGTTCAATTCCTTAGCTTGGCACTCAAGGTCCTTCCCTCTGTGGCATCATGGACCTCACCCCTGCCTGAGTCCTCATCTCCCCCCAACCCTACCTACTACCCAGGACAGCCTCCTGCCTGCAGGACCCCTCTCTTCAAGCTCTCCCTATCCTCCCCAGGCTTCAGTGTCTAGTTCAGGAAGCCTCGCGGATGCCCTCACATCTGGGTTCCACAGCCTTTAGGGTCCATCTGGGTTCCACAGCCTTTAGGGTCCCACCCACCCGGTCTGCCTTCTCCTTCCTCCTAAGATATGAGGCTTCACATACCTCCTCCTCATCGTGCCTCCCCCGCTGCCCCCTGCTGCATCCTACCCCAGCTAGACCATGAGCTTCCCAAGAACATGCTAGTCTCCTCCTCTCCATCTGCTCCTGGCAGGGGACCCAGAGCAGAGGCGGACAGGGGCTGCTGAGTGGGAAGGGAGGCTTGAAGGAGGGACCCGGCACAGACACCGTGGGGAGCCCCGCAGGTGGTGAGCAGCTCTGAGTAGCTGCTGGAAGCTGGTGACGCAGGTGGGGAGACTTGCTGGCAGGCCCTGCAGTGTGCCCCCAGACTGCCACTCCTCCCTCTCTCTCCCTAATTCTCCACACCAAGCTCCCAAGCAGAGGTGGGGAAAGGCTTCACAGAGTATGAAAGATGGGCTGAGGGGACCCCTGGTGACTGGCACAGGAACCTTGGAGAGAGATAAGGATGACGGAATGGTGGTGAGAGTGGATCTGGAGAGGGGAAGGTGTGGGCAGAGAGGGGGAAAGAGTGGTGCTGTCCCAACTCTGCCACTTTTTGCTGTGTGACCTTGGACAAGTCACTCAACCTTTCTGGGCCTTGGTTCATCTGCAAGGTGCAAGCTTCCTCAGGCATGGTGAGAATAACATGTAAGGCAAAGCACTTCATCACTCTATTCATTCGTTCATCCTCCCCATCTTTAGGCATAGCAGATGCATCATAAATGTTGGACCTCTTTACTTACCCCAGATTTAGGGACTGCTCAAACCCTAACTCAGAAAGGATGGATCTGGGAGGCTGAGTCAAATGCCTCTGATTCCATACTCAGGCCCTGAAGGGTTCCATGGGCTGGGGAACTTCGAGAGGGGTCTAAGGTCATCTCCCTCTCCCCAAATGCACACACCTGCTGAAAACCTGGCTGTACCCTTGGTGGCTGGTGCTGCTGGTGAGCAACGGAAAAGGCAGAGATGGGAGGAGAAACTCCACTTTTTTGGATCAGCCCTAGAAGGCTTCCTAGAGGAGCTAATTTTCTTGGAGCTCTCTGCTGGGTCAGAAGGTGGGTGTATGCTTGAGGTTCACAGGCTGGAGTGTGTATGTGCTGGTGAGGACAGTTGTATGCTGGGCATGGGGAGGCCACTTTGGCCGAGACAGGAGGCTGGAGGAGATCACAGATGGTCTCCCTCCCCCATCTCTCCAGGTACACTGTGGCCAGCTGAGTGACAGTGAGGAGTGGAGCCTGCAGGCCGTGGAGAAGCATGTGAGTGAGATGGAGACAGGGCAGGCTGGGGTGGGGGCTGCTGCTGCAGATGTTCTTCATCATAGCTGGTGGAAAGATGATCTGACCAGGGAGCTGGACAGACCTGGGTTCCAGTTCCAGCTCCACCATCTGTGCACTGTGTGACCTTGAGCAAGTCAATTAACCTCTCTGAGCCCCATTTGAAAATGGGAATAATGATAACACTGACCTCCCTGGGGTTGTGGTGAGATAAGGTGATCAAACTCCTTGTAAATACTAAAGGGGGATGCACATAGGATTATCTACATCAATAATATTGAGGCTTTTTCCTGCCTGAGATTTTATGATTTTGTGACTTTAACAAGGACTTACTGACTCCCCACGGGTGCTGGAGACACAAAGAAATCTGATCCTGGCCTGTCTTGGAAGAGTCTGGGGGCTAGGGGCTAGAGACAGATCCTATACTTACCTGCTCATGGACCAGCGGACGCTCCAGGGGCAGTGGGAGCCCGCAGGAGGGTGAAAGGGAATTGGCCTGTGGGGCACAGACCGTCCCGCAGGAGGCGTTGGAGGGGCAGAGCCCTGAGGGATGAGTTGTTTCGGGTGGGGTGAGGTGGCGCGGTGCGCACCGTAGGCAGAGGGAAAGGCGCCAAGTCCCTAGGCGGCGAGCGCGGGGAGGGTGGGGCGACTGGCTCGCTGACAGCTCGGCCCGCCCCAGACCCTGGTGGCCCTGCGGAGGGTGCAGGCCCTGCAGCAGCGCGGGCCCACTGAGGGCCCCGGCGCAGTCCAGAACCCCCCGGCGGGGGCGGCGGGCGACCAGAAGAGCGGAGTTGCGTACACCGACCAGGACAGCAAGATTCTGCAACTGTGCGGTGAGGGCTGGTGCCTGGGCGGGATCCTAAGGGTCCCGCAGTCGAACCTGGAGTGGGGCGCGGTCTATGGATGTGGGCGGGGTCTGAGGGACTGCGCCTGATAGGTGGGGCGAGGCCCAAGTGAGAGGGCTCTTGGTAAGGGGGCATTTAGAACCCGGGTGGGATCTGAGGGACGGTACATGAGGGGCGGGGCCAGTGGTAGGATGGGCGGTGCCTGAGAGGTGGGGCGCGCCCGCGGGCGGGGCCGAGGCAAAAATTGGAAGGGAGGTCTACGGGCAGGCCAGAGGCAGGGGAGCGGGGCCTAGGGAGAGTCTATGGGCTTTGCCGGGCCTGAGGGACTGGGCCAGGGAGGCGAGGCGGGCCCTCCTTCTGATCCGCGCCGGACCCTTGCAGGGGAACTCTACGACCTGGATGCCTCTTCCCTGCAGCTCAAAGTTCTCCAATACGTGAGTCCCTGTGCCCTTCCCACCCACCTCCCCACCCTGTCTCCCTCCAAGGAGCGCGCCATCTCAGTTCAGATTCCCACGTCCCAAAGCCGCGTCTCTTCCCTCTCCTCCACCTTCCTGAAGAGGCTCAGAGAGGGTAGAAGGTGGGGAGTGGACGTGGCTCCAGATCCGTGGTCAGTCCCTTGCTCTGTCCCTCCCTCTCAGCTGCAGCAGGAGACCCAGGCATCCCGGTGCTGCCTCCTGCTGGTGTCCGAGGACAACCTCCAGCTTTCCTGCAAGGTGAGGGCCCAGGTACGCGGGGGGCGGAGGATGGGGATGGGGCGGGATGAGGGACTGGGATCTCCGAGGGCAAAATCCTGTCTGCCCTTCCTTTAACTGGACCCCTGCTCTCCGTCCCTCTGCCCCTCAGGTCATCGGAGATAAAGTGCTGGAGGAAGAGATCAGCTTTCCAGTGAGTTGGGTGTCCCATCCCCCTGAGGCATTGGGGCCTGCAAGGACAGGCACTCATGGAGGGGGCAGTGGTAGTTCAGTGACAATTCTCGCCTTCCATGCGGGAGACCCAGTTCGATTCCCAGCCAGTGCACCTCAGGTGTATCTACTACCTATCTGTCAGTGGAGGCTTGTGTGTTGCTATGATGCTGAATGGGTTTCAGGGAGGCTTCCAGACTAAGACAGACTAAGAAGAAAGGCTTGGCAATCTACTTCCAAAAAATCAGCAATGAAAACTATATGGATCACAGAGGTCCAATCCCGTTGTTCATGGGGTTGCCATGAGTCAGGGAGAACTCCAGGGCAGCTAACAACAGACACCCATGGGATCTGCCTGGAAGGGCTAGGATTTGTTAGAACCTCTTGAAATCTGATAGGATTATCTGGACTTTGGGATCTACTTATAAATGTTAAAAGAAATCATAACCTCTCATGATCTGGAGGCACACCGGAATCCACTGGGAGAAATCTCTTACGTCTATAGAATAGTATCAGACCAGTTATGCTTGCTTGGGACCAGTTCATTTGTGATGAAATATTTCTGGATTTGGATCTCTTAGAATCTGTTGAGATCAGTGGGAATCCTTGGAGTCTGCTTGTCCTGGTTAGGGAAGACCCCAGAGTCCTCTCTCTATGGGGGATAATGATCAAGGGCAGACTCTAAATTCTAAAGTTGACCCCATCTGCCATTTGGACTGATTGAAGTGATTGTTGAAGCTTTCAGACTTGGGGGAGAGGGCTGAGATCCCTTCTGTGGACTCTGACTCAACCTTTCCCCATTTCCCAGCTGACAATGGGACGCCTGGGCCAGGTGGTGGAAGACAAGAAGTCCATCCAGCTGAAGGACCTCACCTCTGTAAGCCACAGCCTAACTGAACCAGGAGAGGGGAGAGCCCACTACCCAGCCGCCGGAGCAGGGTCTCTGGGACAGGGCAGCCTAGGAATGAGACAAGACCCCAGGACTTGCTACATACTACCCTCATGTCATAGCACTACCACCCCTGCATGAGTCCCTTGGAACTGCCTGTTGCAGAAGGTGGTGTAGGGATGGAGGAGGGAAGCATACTCCCTCCCTCCTTCTCTGTCCTGACTCCACTCCCTTTTGCCTCTTCTCTGCAGGAGGATGTGCAACAGCTGCAAAACGTTCTGGGCTGTGAGCTGCAGGCCATGCTCTGTGTCCCTGTCATCAGCCGGGCCACTGACCAGGTGGTGGCTTTGGCCTGCGCCTTCAACAAGCTTGGAGGAGACTTGTGAGTCTGGGTGGGGTGTTGTGGATAGGGAGACGAAACTGAGAGGCTGGGCAGGGCTGTGCTAAGGTAATGGTGTGAGAAGGGCACTAGGCAGGGGGTACTGTCCCAGTGAGGTAGCAGGGGGCATCATGGAGCACAAAAAGAAGGAAGCTTCAGGGAGAAGAGGGAGGGCTGAACAGTTTTTCAGTGCAAGAGACTATGGGGTTATGGGCAGCCCTTGTAGCTGTTGCTGGCTGAAGCACAGGTTATCATTAACTTTAACTCTCTATCACCCACTTCAGCTTGTTTAAAGTTATGTTGAAGCCCCAGCCAGCTTCCCTTCTCTTTCCCCACTTCCTGAAGTTTGGATTACCCTCTGTTAGGGTACAGGCCTTCCCCAGTTTACCATCTCGTTTTGACATTATGTCTGGGAACTGCCTGGTGGAAGGGTGGGTGAGCTCTGAGATGGATAAACTCTCCCACAGAGCATCATCAACACAGTGGACAATGGCTAGAAGGGGTAGCTGGGGCTGGGATAAACTGAGTGTCTTTAGAGCTACTGACTGGTCTAAGAATCACACAGGGCACAGCATCCAGGTAAGACCTGGAGGCTTAGTCAGGTAGCATATTTTAAGAACTGAGGTCAGATTTGGGGTCTGGAAGTGGTATCATAAATAGATGTCATGTCCTATACCAACTCATTAATTGGTAGTAGCTGCCTGAATCATTGTGTTGAGAATGAATCTTAGCAGTGAGAAACAGTCTTGTGATCATTAGCCTTGTCTGCCTTGGGTGTAGGCTCAGGATATGAGTGCCTCATGGCCACCAAACTTGGTCTAGCAGCTTGTGCTGTGTCATACAGGTGGGAAGGAGCAAGCAGGTGAGGCATGGAGTCCTGAGTACAGGATGCAGAGAGAGCTGACAAGATGGAGGAAGCTGCCCCTGAGGGCAAGCAAGCAGGCCCTGAGTTCCTGCAAGCTGAGGGATGAACGGCTCCAGGTCAGGACTAGAGAGGTGTTAGAAGTGCAGGCATGGGGTGTGCAGGGGTAGGGCAGAGACCCAGGAGTCATAGGTCTGAGCAGCAGGAGCTGGTAGTGTGGAGCTCAGTAGGCAGTTGGTTGGGACTAAGGGAATGAAAACATGGGGACAAGATAGATCTTGGTCAGAGCCAGCTAAGGCAGGCTGGGTACAGGATCTGTGGGATTTGGGACAGACAGGCAGCCTGGTGGTGGGAGCATATGTGCCATTCAACAAACATTGAGCACCTACTGTGTTCAGTCCTTGCTGGCCAGAAGGCCATGGGAAGGCCTTTGGGGATGGGAGTGCAGGGTGGGCAGAGGTCCAGCAGGGGCTGTGACCTCTTGCTGCTGACTGTGGGGCTGGAAGACAGTTGGTATCAGAAGGGAAACAAGATGGGGCCATCATGACAGTCCTTAGGCCCAGGGCAGGGTGGGTGACATCTCTGAGTCTCACACATTTCTGAGAGTGAGTGTTGAATGATTGGATGAACCAGGGTGGATAGCAGTGAATGCAGAGAAGCTTCCTGGGACCCTGCTGCCAGATAATAGGAATTCCAGAATCCCTTCAGCTAGGAGGGGGACGGGCTTGTGGCAAGGCCAGGGCCCACCAGGGGATAGAGTAGGGTACAGGTAAGACGTTCAGCAAACACCTCCCAAATATCTCCCCTGTGCCAAGGTCTGCACTGAGCACAGGTAATATAACCACGGCCCCTCCCTTTAAGACTTGAAGTTTATTTTCAGGGCATAGAGGGAGGAGGCTGGGAAGGGTATTCTAGGCAGAGTGAACAGTGTGGAAAAAACATGAAGATGTGAATGAGCCTGACGTTTTCTCAGAATGATGAGGATCTTAGTTTGGCAGAAGCTGAGAGACGCCCATAGATGAGGGAGAGAGGTTGGTGGGACCAAACTGAGGGGGCTTGAATGCCATGGTAAGGAAGGTGGGCAGACAAGCACAGCATGTTGAGGATTGGGATCTAGACCTGAATCACCGGGCAGCAATCATGAGTGGGGGATACCCTGGCAGTGGGGTACACTGAGGTCAGCAAAGAATGGAGGGGACCAAGGCAGGGAAATCTTGGGGCTAAGATGATTGAGGCTGGTTCCCCTAGTCCCCATGACCATCACCTAGAGAGACCCACATCCCAAGCCCAGGTCCCACCCAGCCTGGTCCATCCAGTCAACTGGTGGCAGGATTGAATGACATCAGCAGGATTTGGGTCTGATCTTGTCAGGCAAGAGCTCACTCCATGAGGGCCCTGCCCTCCCCACCACCACCTTAGGATTTGTGGAGGCATCAAATCTGGGCCAGCAAAGTCCAGAGAAAGTGAGGCAGTGACAGGAGGTGGACTAGGCAAGGCCAAGCTCTCATATTTGGGCAGTGCCACTGCCTCTCTCCAAGGCTGAAGGAGCCCCTCCCAGCTCTGGCCTGGTAAAGTCTCTAGTGTGAGGGAAGAGACCCAGCCTTGGTCTGGGTGAATCCCAAGTCAGAGGAGGGAGACATGGCTCTGGCTTCAAGAAGCAATAGTCTGAGGAGGAAAACACATTTTGGTCTGAGGAGGAAGAGGACTCTTCCCTCAGGAAGCCCATAGTTTGAGAGGGGAAGCCAGCCCAAGCCACTAGTGCATGGAGCAGCCCCAGTAGAGAGGGTTATATTAGCTAGTGGATTTCCAAGTGGCTTCCCAGAGGAATGGAAGTAAGGAGAAATGGGGAAAGAAGACCCTTTCTTCTTCTGTGACCCCTGCCCCTCCTGCCTCCTCAAGGTTCACGGAACAGGACGAGCACGTGATACAGCACTGCTTCCACTACACAAGCACGGTGCTCACCAGCACCTTGGCCTTCCAGAAGGAGCAGAAACTCAAGTGTGAGTGCCAGGTGAGTGGCCTGCTTCGTGCCTCTCGCGGGAACAACTCGTCCAGCTCTCAGCCCAAGAGTCATCCACAGGGGAAAAGTCCATGTCTTTTGGGACAGACAGCAGCCCTGCCCTACAGCAAGGAGCTAACCTAGTGACCTGGAGGCCTCTTCTTATAGAGAGAGGTCAGTGGTTCCAGCTGCACTGGCCACAGGCACTGTATATGATAGCCCTCTAGTGTCAGATAAGGGTACTACAGCAACATCTGGGTGGCAAGAGCCCAATGTGAATGCATATCTGAGAGACTCAGGACTGGATTCTTACGTGCCTTCCTTGGGGCTATTCTCCCCACTTCTTCACTTGGTAGTCAAATGATATAAGTAGACACTGCCAGTTTCCAGCCTGTCCTGGTAGTTCTAGGGGAGGAATGAGGAGACCTTGGAGGTAGGTGGCTGAATAGGGAGATTTCTGCAACCTGAACATCCTATGATCTCCATTTCCTCCATTCCAGGCTCTTCTCCAAGTGGCAAAGAACCTCTTCACTCACCTGGGTGAGTGCACTGTCCTCCTCTGTGCTGGCTGTGGGATGGGAGTGGGGGCTGGCGTTCTGGGTAGGAGAGAGGTGGGAGGGCTTGTCCTGGGTACTGTAGCCAGCCTGGTCTCACCATTGCCCCTGCACTGCCCACTCCCCCAGATGACGTCTCTGTCCTGCTCCAGGAGATCATCACCGAGGCCAGAAACCTCAGCAATTCAGAGATGTGAGTGAATCTACCCAGGGGATGGCAAGAGGGAGGCTCCTGGGCCTCTGTCCTTATCAGCTCTCCCTCCTCCCACCCCCTTCTTATGGAACCTGCCACATTTTGTGTGGTCCTTTCTGTCATGCTTGTCTCCCTCATTGGACTGTAGGCAACTTTGACAGCAGGGGTGGGCTGGCTTTGTTTGCCACGGTGTCCACAGCTTCTAACACAGTGCCTGGCTCTCAAAAAATAAAAAAATGATTTGAATGGGTGAATGATTTGGATGGAGTCAGCCAGCGCTAAGGAGAGTCTGTCACTACGGAGCACTCCTCCCAGGCCTCAGAAATCAAGTCACTGAAAAGTGGAGGGAGGGGGGAGGGGGTGTCAGGGCCCTGTGGACAACCCCCCACCCCCACCCCACAGCTGCTCCGTGTTCCTGCTGGATCAGAACGAGTTGGTGGCCAAGGTGTTCGACGGGGGCGTGGTGGATGATGAGGTGAGGCGGGGCATGGCGGAGAGAGTGTGCGCCCATGGTCCTGGGGACTGGAAGTCCACAGGGGCCGCTGGGGAGCAGACCTGACGTTTGATGGCCCTGTGGCCGGGCCCCCAACTTCTTCCTCGCTACTCGATCCCTGACCCGGCAGAGCTACGAGATCCGCATCCCGGCGGACCAGGGCATCGCAGGCCACGTGGCGACTACTGGCCAGATCCTGAACATTCCGGACGCGTACGCGCACCCGCTTTTCTACCGCGGCGTGGACGACAGCACCGGCTTCCGCACGCGCAACATCCTCTGCTTTCCCATCAAGAATGAGAACCAGGGTGCGAGCTCCCGGCGGCCCCCTGCGAGGCTCGGGGAAGGAGCCGGCCCAGGCCGGGGCGGGGCCAGGCCGGGGCCGGGGCGGGACCAGACAGGGGCGGGGCCTGAGCAGGATGGGGCTGGGCTGGGCTGGGGTGGGGCCAGGCCGGGGTGGGGCCTGAGAGGATGGGGCGGAGCTGAGCAAAGGGTTGGGAACGCTTCCCCACCGCGGTGGCGACCCCTGGCAGAGAGGACGGGGATTCCCACGCATGAGATGTATCCTGAGGACACTGTGGGAGGGCAGGGCTCTGCCAGACCCCTCCACCGGCCGGTCCTAGCCCCTCTCCTGCGCCCCGCAGAGGTCATTGGCGTGGCTGAACTGGTGAACAAGATCAATGGACCATGGTTCAGCAAGTTCGACGAGGACCTGGCGACGGCCTTCTCCATCTATTGCGGCATCAGCATCGCCCATGTGAGCAGGGGACGACTGGGGCGGGCCGGTGCAGGATTCTGCCTTCACTTCTCCCCATCGACTCTCTTTGCTCTGTTCTCAGATGGCTTTAGTCCTCGGCTGGGACGCAGAGCCCTGATGCTGAGTTGTTTGCTGTGCAACCGTCAGTACATGCTGGCCACCTCTGGCCTCAGTTTCCCATCTGTAAATTGGGAATAGTATTTCTGCCCTGCTCAGCCAGTCTCCCAGGACCATGAGAGTCAGAGAAAGGAAACTAAGGAATGCTTTGAAATCGTAGCTGTCATTATCTATCCCCTCTCTGGAAGCAGAGTCTCCAAGTGGTGCAAACAGTTAACATACTTGGCTCCTAACAGAAAGGTTAGAGGGTCAGTTCATCCAGAGGCACTGGGAAGAAAGGCCTGGCAATCTACTTCTGAAAAGTCAGCCATTGAAAACCTTGTGGAGCACAATTCTACTCTGACATGCATGGGTTTGCCTCATGTAGGAATAGACCCAATGGCAACTAGTTTTTCTCTGGAAGCAACCTCAACCCAAGCCCCTAGTCAGCTTCTTTTTGGGAAACATTGGGACTCATTGTCCACACCTGCTGACAGCTCTGACCTGGGTATCCAGCCCCTAGGTCCCTGACCTGTTCCCCCTCCTTCCTTCTCTTTCCTTGTCATGGATCCCAGGCTCCATCACTGAAGACTGGGGCAGGAAAGAGGGTGTGTTGCTAAGTGCCAGATCAAATGCTAAGAGGGCCTGGGGAAGAGGTGGGGGGGCCTGGGTGAAAGTGGGGGCAGGGGGTTCGAGCTCTGAGCTGGAGCTCAAAGGCTCAGACTGAGGCCAGAGCGGGACAGGAAGGGGATTTCTATCTGACCTCTTTGTCCCAGTTCTGGATATTTCTGAGATTTCACAGCCACCTTGCTTGAGCCTCATCTTTTCCTCTCTCCCCCAAGTCCCTCCTGTACAAAAAAGTCAATGAGGCCCAGTATCGCAGCCACCTGGCCAACGAGATGATGATGTACCACATGAAGGTGAGGTCTGCCTGGAGCTGCTGTCTTTCCTCTCAGGGTCCCAGGGCCACCTGCTTCTCTTTGCTCTCTCCCTGCCTCCCCAAATCCTCAGAGGTTTAGGAAGAGTTTGGGCTTTCTGATTGCCCTCTCCTGAAGATCTGAAGAGAGACCCAGAGGAAAGCGTGGCCTCCCGCTCTCCTGGTCAATCCTTAGGGGCAGCCTCCCCTCACCCCACTGTTTATAGAGTCCTCTTCCAGGTAGTTTCAGGGTTTAGCCCCAAGGCTGGAAGCAGCCAGCTGAGCCCAGCCCAGGGACATTGGTTCAGCCAGGTATTCCCCATGTCCAGGGAGTAATTCCCATCTTGGGAATTACTGAAAGCTGGAAAGCCCACCCTGGGCCCTTCCCCATAGCTTCCCTCAGACACAGTGATCAGGCAGCCCTGGGAAGTCCTAATTGCTGATATCCCATCCCATTCCCAGCCCCTATGTCAGAAAAGCTGTCCCAGGTTTTAGTTCAGAGTATGTGGTGGTCACCACTGTTCCTTTGGAAATTTCCTCTCGTGCCCAAGCCGAAGGGTCCCTGGACTTTGTGGATAGGATCAAAGCTGAGGTCAGAAGGATTGAGGTTAGACACTGGAAAAACACCCCACCCCCCTGCAAAAAAAAAAAAAAGGACACTTGAGTTAGTGTTTACGAAAGGCTGCCATGGTTTGGGGGTGTCATAAAGGGGAGTTCTTTATCTTTGCTGAGGACAGGCTGTTACAGATGGGGATGGCCACAAGCAGGGAGGGATAGTAGTGGCTACAGGGCTGTGAGGGTGAGGGTGGGGTGATCTCCCCTGTGACAAGCACAGAGTGGATGACCCAGCTGTGGTGCCTTCTGGGTAAGGGGTCCACCTCCTGCAGGGAGAGTTTGAGGGTGAGACCCTGGGTGGGTGGAGGCAAGCTTCTGATGCCCTCGCTGGGCCCCTCTAGGTCTCTGACGATGAGTCCACCAAACTTCTCTATAACGGGATCCAGCCTGTGGCTGCCATTGACTCCAACTTCGCGAGTTTCACCTACACCCCTCGCTCTCTGCCCGAGGATGACACGTCCATGGTGAGCTGGTCCTCCCCTGCTTGACTGGGCAGGTGGGTGGTGTGCAGCCAGAGATTTAAGTTATGTGTGCCTAAGAACTTCCTGGTAAGGCAGAATCATCAAGGAAGACTATGGGATCTCCCTCAGAAGATGAAGTAGGCGTGGAGTCTGCCATCACGGGCCATAGGCCTGCCTGGGGGCAGGGGGCTGGACTGGATCATCAAGTGCTACTCCTGAATGCCCAGGGCCTGTGTCCACAGGGTTTGCCCCTCCCTCCCTGTTTTTCTAAGATTTTGTACAGTTTGATCCCAAACGTTCTTAGTTCTTAGATCACATATTTCTGATAGTTCATTGCTCTGAGAATGCTTGGCTCTATTAGTTTATGGTTCTCTAGTTTTAATCTAAGTCTCTAAAGATTCTAACATTTTGTGTGTAGGATTTCACGGAGGGCTGAGGCAGGGGCCCCAACTTTTTCTTTTTTTATAATGCTAACCATATTATTATTTTAATCATAAATTCCCACGTTTTAGTCCAGGCGTACAATTGTTTTTCTTATGGTGCACCCCCCACCCCCACCCCTCAGTGTTTTAGATTCAGTAATTCAGGTTTGAAACTCAGGGATCTGTTTTATAACCGAAAGTTCCATAAGCAGTTTTTTAATTTAAAATTTTTTTGTTGTGGTAAAAATACAAATAATACAACATTTTCCAATTCAGCATTTTTCACATGTACAATTTAGTGCCATGACTACATTAATCATGATGGTTGCACAGCAAACAGCTACATTAATCTTGCTGTGCAGCCGTCACTGGTATTCAGTGAGGGGCTCTATCTTGATGCTGACCTTCCCTCTGACCCCCGCTTCTGTTCCCTCCAGGCTATCCTGAGCATGCTGCAGGACATGAATTTCATCAATAACTACAAAATCGACTGCCCAACACTGGCCCGGTATGTGCCCCCAACACCCCTCTCTGTGCAGATAGCCTCAGTCTGCCTCCTCCTGTCCTTGACTCTCCCATTCGTTGCCCTCAAGATTCTGGGGAGCGGTCTCTCTGAGAACTACTGGGGGAGGCCCAGTCCTATGGGGGTCGGGAAGACTGTGGATGAGAGGCAATTCCCAGATGTGTGACCGCAAAGGTGGGGGTGGGGGGGAGTATAAGAAGGGAAGGGGGCAGGGCAGTCCTTGAAGGGCTTCCTGGAGGAGGAGGGCTGAGGCCCTTCTGCTGCTCTCTCGCCTCCCCCAGGTTCTGTTTGATGGTTAAGAAGGGCTACCGGGACCCCCCCTACCACAACTGGATGCACGCCTTTTCTGTCTCCCACTTCTGTTACCTACTCTACAAGAACCTGGAGCTCGCAAACTACCTCGAGTGAGTGTTTGCACCGCCACTCCCATCTGGCAGCAGCTGGAGGTCCCTTCCCTGGAACTGGGAAGTACCTCCTGCGTCCAAACCCTTTATGTGTGATCCACCCCCTGCCGTATGATCCTCTTTACAGCCAAGTGAGGGTGCAGAACCCCATTATCCACAGTCACATAGCAAGGGATTGATGTGTGTAATTTGTACCTAGTTCTGCCAGACTCCAAAGCCAGTGCTTTTTTCTAGGAAGGGGACCCAAGTGTCCCGACCCCCTGTCTGGGCAGCTCCTGGGAGTCTCCCTCCTTCTCTTGGAGGACTGGGGAGGGAGCTATGTGCTGACTTCTCTCTTCTCCATCCACCTCTCAACCAGGGACATCGAGATCTTCGCCTTGTTTATTTCCTGCATGTGTCATGATCTGGACCACAGGGGCACCAACAACTCCTTCCAGGTGGCCTCGGTGAGACCCTCAAGACAGGAACCCTCCTGGGGTCTCTGGAGGTCTCACCCGTCCCAGCCTGAGGAGAGGTGGGAGCTGGTGAATCAGGAGCCAGTTTTAGATACAGGAGGAGGCTCTCCCAGGGTTTCCCGTGGACTCTGAGATGGGGGGAGTGTC